TTTTTAATTGATTAGAATGTGTGAGCACTGTGCTTAATATTGAAAAAAAATACTTACTAGGAATTTAAAATGAATTAATATTTACAATTATTTATACACATTAAATATAACGATTTATATTTAATGTATAAAAATAATATATACCTAGTGCGTAACAACATTCTAGATTGAGGTTTTAAAAATTAATTATTCGTTTAACTTTAAAAAATATCCATGACACAAAAATATTGTTGGCTTATAATATTTTGTTTGTGTAAAAAATATACAGAAAAATCATTTTCCTGGAAGTTTCGTGTATTATGAACAATGAACGTAAATTAATTTGGGTTTTGTGAAATATAAAAGGCACGATTTTTTAAATTTTAATTTATGCAGTTAATTTCTTAGCTCAGTATTTTCCTTAATCCAGTGTAGAAATATAGAAACCTAGTACACTATACTAAATAAACTTTGAGTTTTTTTTATAAATAAACTTTATTTTAAGTTAAATATTTAAACAATAAAATATTGGTTTATTTTCCACTATTAAAATTAATAATACTTCATACCTGCTTAACTATTTGTTCATACCTACTATATTATAAGAGTTAAGTTGAAGAATAATAATAATGATAATAAAAATAAATATTTGAAAATAATAGTTATAATATTTCCACCATTTTAAGCCCTAACTCCGAACCGGTTGTCGATATTACTATTTCTTATATTCAAGAGGCCGGTTTCGTTATGTGAATCATTTTGGTTTTTTTATTTTATATCGCTAGCCTTATATAACTTACTATATTTCTATTATTATTTGGTTTGTTCTTTGTATTGTATATTGTTAAATATTTTAATGAAATATTATTTGTTGCAAAAAAAAAATTACAATAATTATAATTATTATTATTCATTAAGTTATTTTAATTATTCCAATAATGTTTCGATGTCTGGTGACTTATTATTGGTTTTTCTAAAATATATTATTATGTCGATGTAGATTTAACATAATATTATGATACGTATTACGGTAACATCACATAACTGGTAAAATAATTATTATTACCACGGATATCATGTAGTATGCATGAGTTGGGATCTCATAGCTTTTACTGAAATCAAACACACTATCTTATTAGTGGGCGTTGTAATCTAATTAGATACCATACATTGTACGAGCAACTTCATTTATTAGCAGATATTATACATTATTATGCATTAGACACGAGTGCTTAAGACAGAGACGAGGGATGTCATAATAGTCATGAAATAGGTAGGTATTATACTTTATTTCTTCGAGTTAAAAAAAAATAAACAAATTTGACAATTACCTAAATTTTAAGTAGCTAAGCAGTTGTTGTAATAATTTAATATTTGCTTAGAATCATTAATAACAATTATTTTTTTATAAAACATAATATCATAAAATAATATAAGTATGAGTAAGACTTTTTTTTTTAAATATAAGTTTGCCATAGTTTGGTTGATTATTGCCCTTGGTTACAGGCTTACAGCATGCGTAATACGACAGTTAATCAAACAAAATCGAATCTGTATTCTGTGCGTATATTTCGTACATAATATTTTTTTAATAAATGTTTCAAAAAAGAATTGATAAAATTTCAAAAATGATAGAACAACTTGGGATTTTCACTCATAATTATAGTAAACCTGTAATAAACTGATGTTATAACTACTTTTCATTGTCTGAGAATTAATATCGATATTATTAGCACAATACATTTATTGTTTGTATTGGGTAGCTCGCAAAGTAGATGCTATAATAGTTATCGAACATTAAATTTACAAAGTTAAATATAAAACTAACCATTCCTCAATTTAATTTCCAATATTTAACAAAGTTCCAGCCCTCTACATCATATTGTTAATAATTTTGAACTTACAAATTATTATTTTCAATTTAAAATCTTTAATTTTAAATTACCATGACTCGTAGCCCGTAGGTATAATTTACGCAGTCCCTGTGTAGGGAAATTGTGCTAAAGCACACAGATATACACAAAATACAAGTATTCCAATCCTAAGTCCTGAGAACCATATCTAATACTCCATGGTTTTTACGTAATGATTAGGGCTGTGAATTTAATGCACTAAAGATCCTTAAAAAATGCATTAAAAATGCCAAAAAATGCAATAAAACATGCGCTTAAAATGCAAAATATGCCATATAAAATTTCAAAATTATAGTATAAAATTAATTTAATATGGTTTTTAATTTAATTTAAATATTTATATTAATATTAGGTACAGAGTAAAAAAATAATAATAATAATAATGTTGATTGAATTTTAATTTTCTATACTTAATACTATTCACCTGAAACATTTTTTAAAAATTTTAGAAATGAATAACACACAAATAACTTATGTAGTTATTTACGAAAAGCTTTATTTTATCCACTTATAGCCTGACAGCCTGGGTAAAAAAACAAATATATTCTTTTTTTCAAACATGTTTGCCGTCAATTGACGGAATTTGATTAAAAATACTGGAAAATGAACTTATAAAGCTAAATATGACTTAAAAATGCACAAAAATGACCTCAACAATTTAAAATGTCAAAAAAAATGCAAAATTATAGTTGCGTAAATAGATTCGTAGTTACATAAATCAAATTATGTACTTTCAAGGCTACGTTTCATAATCACCAAAAAAAAAATGCACTTTCCTACAAATTCACAGCCCTACTAATGATGCACTTCACAAAGACTTTCCACAATAACTGTGTACATAAAAAATTAGCAATCAACTTCTTCAACCACATCAGTTCTGCATGCAGTGTGAAATTTTTTACATCAAGCGACCCACCTTCTGAACGCCGACTCGAGCATAGACGCCCATACTGCCTTTTGTTTTAGTTATTATTATTCATTTTCTCTTCTATTTGGTCTTCTGATATGTGAATATATTACAACGTAGTAGGTACTATATTTTAATGTTTTATTACTAATCATTAAATATTTTCCAAATGTTAAAAAAAAAATGTAATTCTGTTAACAATAAGTTTTAGATGACTACGTCAGGGAAACTTTAAATTAATAAAAAAAAAAGGTATAGTTTACTATGTTTGAAGTATTTTAAATATTTGTACAATAAAAATTCTCCCGAAATAATGCTTACTGGTATTTTATTTATTTGTGAAGTGAACAAAATTTAATGTCAAATACAATTACTAGTCTTTTTTTTAAAGGTTTTATTTGTATATAATTATGGTTTGAATAAAAAAATATCGTTCCAATACTCAAGGTCATTTTTTAAGCAAAAAAAATGGTTATAGAGTTATGGTAAATACAGTAACTAAAATTGCTGCCTGTTAACATAGATTACTAGTGCAACTTAGTAACACAATAAAAATCAACAAACAATTTGATTTTTTCCATTTTTGAATATTATTACTCCTAACATTTAAATTTCATTGATTTTGAAAAATGCATAAAACAATTATTTTGAATTTTCAATAAAATTAGCTTCGAATTGAATCTAACATTCTAAATGTATTTTTACAATACATTTTTAATACAAAAACAAATTATATAATTATTCATTAGTAGCTCAAATTCGTATAATAACAATAATAATAGTAATTAAGATTGTGTACCGATTCCTAGAATTAGATTTATCTTTTCATCACTGGTGAAAGTTTATATTATTTTCAAATTACATTTCAGAATTTTATTTCAGTAATTGTGTAGACTATTACTTTTCTATATATATTATACACACAAAATGATTTTTTTAACATGTTTCTCACTCCATTTGTATGTTTAAATTAACCATTTATTAAAATTTTAATTTTTTGAAAATTTAATTATACATTATGTCATATTTTCAAATACTTAGATTGTTCACAACATTTCAAGAAGTATCATGTGGATACACAAAAATTGGTTATTCAATTGTGAACTTACATGTTTTATTTCAAATTGTGAATCAGATAGTTTCTCTGAAAATGTTGACGTATTTTAATAGTAATTTTAACAAAAAGTTCCTGAGTAGTTGTTACAATTATGCACTATTATTATAATCTATTAAATACTCTAAAAACGTATACAAGATCGGTGATTATTATAGTTAAGTATGCATTATTAAATATTTGATGATAGTAACTACTTATTAATAGTCAAGTGTACAATTTTTTTTATTACAAAAAGTTTGCGGATTAATCATGCAGCCGACCATTTTTAAAACAAAACTAAGTAATAAGCTTTTAATAGACTATTATCCTTTATTAAAAAGAATAACTCAGAAAATGTTTGTTCAAATTTCGATTACAATATATGTTAAAATGTTCTGAAGAGAAAAATCATTTGAATTACAATTTTGGTCCAATGTTGGCATCCCCCCAGGATAATCCTTAAATGCTTTGAAAAATCTTAATATATATAAATATTTAGTTCAAAGTCTTTAATTACTTTTAGAAATTCCGAAAGTCATAATTTTAATATATGCATAATTTAAACATGCTAATCACCCTGTCGTTGATTTTTTTCGGTCACAGTATACAATATTTTATTGAAATAATGATGCCTTTGAGTTTAGTGCAAGAATAGTGTTATCGGTGTTTTGTGTACATGGTTTCTTGTTAAATAATGCATCGTATAACGTTTACATTAATTTTGTAACAGTTTCGTATTTTTATTTTGTCAAATCAAACTATATGTCACCTATCAATCATTTATTGCGTCATTCTGTCATATAATAATAAATACTGACGACAAATGTTAAAATGCATTTTGGTCAAACATATAAATAATATTAATATTTTATTGAATTTTTTTTGTATACATAGTAAACATTACTATATAACGTTAAGGAACACTGTAACTCGGATAGTTCAATATAAAGTCAAAAAATCTGTTACATCTTGACATGTAGGTATTAATATTATGGAAGACCAAAACACAAAATAAACTATATATTTAGAAGTGATATTATATCCATATATAGCGTTTTTTCCAATCAAAAATATTATAATAATATGACTAACACTGCATACTAACCTAACTTAAAGTTCTTGACAGAGATGCTAGAGGATTCGTGGTAGATTACTTCTTATTACAAACATTTCCACGTAAATTGCAACTATCCCTGTAAAAATATAATAGCATGAATATAATATACATTTTTGCTATAAAATATAAATCTATAAAATAAATTTAAATGCGCCAAATTAATAGGCAGGTGTTAGTGTTATAAGATATAAACCGTTGTCGATCTCTATATGTATATTCAATTAAATTTATCAAAAGGAAAATCTTTGCCCACCACGTATGTAATGTTGAATATTTTTTGCTTCTTTTAATTAGCGAACACAATACGAACTTTTTTTCAAAACTACACATCAGAGAAAATTATTATAGTTTTAACTTGATCTTTCACTATAAAATATGATATTTGTGAAAGTGAAATATCAAAGTTTGAAGTTGTATATAATATATCATAAAATATGTTTCTCTTCTTTCATCGTGGATACAGCACAGGAAAATAAAACTTCTCCAAACAGAATAGTTTGTTTAAAACTGCAGCACTTGTTTAACTAATATTTCTTATTACAATACAATATACAGTTGTCACCTAATTGGTAATAAAATCAAAATAAGGTATAATGAATTAAATAGTTAGTATATATAAACACATACATAGTGTAATATTATAAACTACATTAAGTGTTAAATAGGTAATTTTAAATTGTACACGACAGAATTGAAGCGAATCAAATTAGAAGTTTATGTAATAATTTTCAGTTTTTAAAATTTCAAATTAACTTCGAGTACACAGTTTTACTGTTGAACCCTTAATTGTAGATAAATTGACGATCAATGAAACTATATACAAGTTTAATTTACAGTGTCCTACCGAGCCTTAGCTTCGAGTGTAAATAATGTCCCCAATAGATATTTAAAAATACTCAATCGTAATTATATACATTTTATATCTATCATAAGATTGTTAATCTGTTTTAATTTTGTTATATCGTTCCAAAAGCCTTTTGGTGTTTGTTCTAATAAATAAAATAAAATAAAATAAAAGTAAATTATTTAATACGAATATTTGAATATAATTCAGTTTTCGTGTTGCACAAAATTACAGCACATAATACTATGTGGTTTGCCATCTTTTTTCATCTAAAATATATAGTACATTCGTACTACCACAACCACATATTTTACTGCATCCGTATAAAATACGTAAAATATACGAATATAGTCGATGTTTAGGCCCGTCTTATTGATTTCTTCTTTATACGAGGGGTTTTCTTTTACGAGAAGTGTGCTTATATTTTAACATAGATCCAATTTTGTTTGTGTGTCGAAATACGTTCTACTATAGAACAAATAGTGTAACTCATTTTTTTTTAAATTGGCTATAGAAGTCTTTTTTTATTCTACTTAAGAGTTATAAGAAGGTATAAAGATATCTGTTGGAGTTGTGGTAGTATTTTCTGGTGAAGTGACATATTTTTCACACCGTTTGAACGTACAAGAAAAAGTAGGTTATAAAAGAAAAATAGTTATCATTCATAAATAATGAAATAGTTCGTTTTATTCTATTGGCATAGAAAAAAATGGAATTAATTGAATTGACCTACTTTTATTCAGTTTTATTTATTTTTTTTTAATTACGATTCATATGACATCGAAAATAATATGAAGTAGGTACATTCCAATAGGTAACAAAAGAATGGCATCCATAACAGCGACATAATAGATTCATTATAATGAAAACTTAAATGTTGCAAAACTGAATAAATAACAGTCGCCGCGTTGTCACGCCATTCGAAATTTCTCGTATTCACCGTCGATCAGTATTATATTTTGCTTAATAAACAGTAGTCACGCGTGTCATCATGGTTGGTTGGCGCGTATTATTGTCATCGTAACAAAATAATATTCCCATCTTAATAATATAGCATTCAATTTGTTTGTCGACGAAAGCGCGAGGGATACCGTTCGAACGCCACCCACACGGCAATGTACCGAAATTGCATACACGCCGCGCCGTCCAACGAATATCAACATAATAATAATAATTTTTAAAAAAATAAACAAACGCGGAGAATAAAAGTTACCTATGACAATGTTATTTTTTACTTGACTGAGTCGAGACTCGTAGTGTATGATATGTCAGATGTAGTTTCTTTTTTAAAAATTGTTTCAATCAATTTGGAATTTATTTGTAATGCTACGTTATTGGTTTTTCTCAATATCTATCACGTTTCGTGTTTAAAGTAATAGACGTTAAATCGTGAATAATGATCGTTTTTTTAAACTACTTTTTATAATATACCTGACTCTAAAGTATTTCAAGTATATAAATAAATGACCGCCTTTGGTTTATTTACCGCATAAATAATTTAAGATATTTTCGAAAATAATATTTTTTTCATAAGACTTAAAACTTAGGACCCTTCATTTTTGAAGACGAATACAAATAAATTATAATTATAACAATATTGTTACAAATTAAATCAATTAAACATTTCATAACTCTATGAGAGACGTGAATTAGTGAGTTATTATTTTTTATAGATCTTATGTTAACAAATTTACTTTTTCTAAACAGGTTGCAAATATAGTAACACAATATAATATTACCACATTGTCTGGAAGAAAAAATATAGTAAAATATGTGAGTACAATTCAAGGCTTCCACAAGGGGAGACTGTTAGACCTGGATTATAGGGGCTCGTTGAAAGGAAATTGTAATTTTTGAAATTTTGATTGGAATACTTATTTTATATTATATAATATTCTATGATATAAATATATATTATGATATATTAAGGAAAAAACGTGTATGGGATCGCATGCATTGGGTTGTATCTCATTGAAATTTTTGTATATGGCCCACAAAAGCATTTAGTACAAGGGCCAAAAATTTTATGTGAGGGGGAGGCCAGTAAAATATGTTATGAAGAATAAAATAAATATATTTTAATAACTTTCATTATTATTACAGGAACACATTTTTATTCTTAAATAGGTTTTTGAATCTAACAATAATTAAATAAAACGCAATAAACAATTTCGGACTGTACCAAATACAAATGCTTTATACCAAATATAATATTATTTAAATCATTACACTTTTGATAAAATATATACCAACCTTTACAAACAATATAATATGTCACATGTTGATATTCACACGTCATCTACTATTCTGTTAATACTAATCAACCAAACTAGTCACATTCATTACATATTTCTGAAGAAATAGAAATTCAAACTGTTCACAGAATTATTTGATGTAAGCTTATAAATCTATGCAAATTCGAGGAGACTATAATGCCAGCGCATTTCCCTAATAAAGCCAAAATACGAATGATTTTGCATAATATTTAATACCTATTTATTTGATTTGTATATAGGAAATAACTGAATAATTAACATTATTATACAATTTGTAACGTTGCAAATAAACCATAACAGAGTAATATTGAACTTTGCACATTAACTGTATAGTGTTTAATGCTATTACGCTTTAGTTGAAATCAACTGATTGCGGAAATTTATCACGGGAGTTGCTGCAGAGAAAAAAAAGACAGCCAATTTTCACTTAATATAAGAATATTTAACAATATCCTATACAATATTAATTTATTCTAAACCATAATAAGTACTGAGTTTTGATACAGAGTTTTGACTTATTTTTGTTATAGATAGTAAACCATACCGATTTATACATAGTAATATTTAGATAGGTAAGTCGTGAGTGTAACATGACGCCTAATAATCTATGGCCGTTAAAAAACATAAGTGTATTGATAAAAAAAAAAAAAATTAACGATAAAGAATTTCCATAACTATGTGAACCTTGTGGGTCACATGGACCTTATTGTGTGTTATAAAGGGTTTTTTTTTTGTCGATACTTAAAATTAAAGTTGATGGAATTTATCTCTACTTTATACGAGACTTAAAAATGCCATCATTTTTTCTCGTCGCTTTTGTAACAAACTTTGGTACTTTCCGTAGGTACAAATTGTAACATAAAATGATATATGAAATAATTTTTGAGTAAAAAATACGTTTCTATAGAGTTGGGGTGACAGGCGAGTGACCCAGACGTTACTCTGGCACCCCGTGTGGAAAAACCTATTTCCCGGAAAAGTAAAGCGTACATTATAACATTTGTTTTTCTTGTTTGTGCAAATTATAACATATCTAATAATACAAAATAAAAATATTGGGTTATTTACTAAAAACATTTTTCAAAAAAATTTTCACATTTAGGTCATGATGAACCGTGTATATTGTCTAGAATGTGTTGAAAACAATCCAGTGGTGAAGGTGCATAATAAATTTGTTCTTCGTAAAAAGTTGTCAAACAAAAAATTGCAAACAACTAAATACGGTTGATTAAACATTGAAATGTCATTTTAAATATTGAAATAAAAAATATTTAAAACAAAACGTTGTTTTCACATCTATTATTTGTATTTCGTTTATAATATTCACAAGCCATGTGAACAATAAATACTTTTTAGTATTAATTATTGTAGTTTTCAGTACTGTTAGTTTTGAAAATGAAAACTGGATTTTCGCATTTTAATTCATTCAGTGTTATAATATTATAAATGCTTATTTTATTACGATTGTTTTCAAATCATTGTCTTACAAATACTTCAAAACAAAATAATTTTTGTATCTGAATTGAGTTCGATATCTTAATTGTACTAACACTTGATCAAACTATGGAAATAATTATTTAAAAATCGTTCAAATTATTTGAATATTGAATTTTATACAATTTAAAAAATGTTTTATTAAATATATGTATAACAAAAAAATTAAAATTATGTTAGACCATGTTCACTCAGTTACACTCAATATTAAAAACTATTGCAATTTGTAATCACATATCTATATTCTACATACATCGATTGTAATAAAAAGCAGCGTCTAACTTTTTTTTAGTAAATCGAAAACAAAACTTGTTTAATCAAAATATAAAACATTGACAGCGGAGGTATGTTTTGTGCAAACGAAATTTTCACTCCAATTATCCTCAAGCAAAACGCACGGGTATAAATAATGATACCGTTCGGTTTCCATTAAATAAAACTTAAGAAACCATGTAAAAACAA